GCCTTATTTTATTATGATATGTATGAAAATAAACATGAAAAGCAAAATTCATATATGAAAATAAAGTTTGTTCTATACTTGTCATGGGGGGAAAACAGAGTTTATTAGACTTTTCAATTATTATTATTTATTTCATAATGTAAACAATCACAGGGACTGTTCACTCAGTAGTCGACCAGCGGGTTACACAATCGTTTATGGTGGTCGACAACTGGGTTTTCATTTATCAAGAGCCTTACAAATGTAGCAAATATGAAAGGATAAGCAAACTCAATAAGGGTTTTGCAGAAAATACACACTTGAAACACGAAGATCTTGCTATTTTCTAAACACCTGACAATGTCACTACATGGTCGACTACCACAAAGAATGCTGCACAATAATTTTTCCTATCACGTAGAGTGAGACAACCCGTTATTCTTACGTCATTGAGAATAGGGTCGCTTTATGATGTTTCCTGTGAGGATGGCTTGCTTAAACCTGCTCCAATGGACTAATTACGCAAGGATTGTTGCTTTCATGGTAGACTACTGGAAGCGGTTGGCAATGAAGTCCCCACCCTACAGATGATTAAATTATAGCCTTAATATATAGCCCCAAAATCCTACAGATTATTCGGCACTAATTAAAAATCGAATTAGTGATTTATTCTTATACTTAGCTGCATAGCTGTACAAAATTGATGTAGATGCCAGGGCGGATCTACATAGGGACTAATAGGGCTTAAGCCCTGGGCCCCAGTGTCAAGGGCCCACAAAAATTTAGAATTATCATCATGCATTTTTAATACTTTTTCATTAAAAATAAGCACTTATTGTATAGTAAAAAATAGTTATCATTATTATTGTATTATTAATATTAATTTATAGTAGACTATTGTTTTATTCTTAATCTAACAAAAAATGGAGCCCCATTAGACTTCAATATGTCCTAGGCCCCGAAAAACCTAGAACTGCCCTAAGTAGATGACTTAATGAGGTTTTAAATAGTTTACATATATGTAACACAATTGAAATGTATGTAAATATTTACTATAAACCAGCAGTTCCAAAAGTGTGCCGCGGCTTCCTCACAGAGGTGCCACAAAATGTTATAAAATTTTTAATGTCGGAATTTATGTACTTATTAGAATTTGACATAGGGTGCCTTGGGAAAATCAGCATTTAGCAAAGGTGTCTAGAATCAAAAAAGTTTGGGAACCACTGCTATAAACCATTGACTTTGAGTATTTTGGAGTTTCTCCTGTCATGGTTTAGATATAGAAATATAAATTATTTTGAGTAATCTCTTAAAATAAAATAACAAATGTTTCAATATTTTAGATATCTAATGCTTATATTCAAATCCATATTATTGATATAATTTATACTCAATTTATTCTCATTGAAAATATAACTTGAATACTTCTTATCGTGTACAGTGGTGCCTCGTATAACGTACGCCTCGAATAACGAAAGCTGCGAATAACGAACTTTCTGTTTGGCCGTTACGTGACTCGAGCAACGGACTGGCTGCGGACAACAGACTTTCCATTCGGCAGTTACGTGAGGCGACCAATGGACTTTCTACAAACAAGTGCAAATGATGTTTCCACTCTTTTGCCATTGCCAATGACAATCTGCTATTTTTATAATATATTAGTATTATTAGAATATATTATTAGTATATCTGAAGCACAGAGCTCCCGTTGGGATTCAGATTACTCCCTTGTTTATTACATACATCACCTCAGTGCAGGGTATTTACATTTATTCAAGTGTTGTGCAAATCATGGCTTCTAAAAAAAACAGAAAAGTGATTTCAATTGAAACAATGCAAGAAATCATCAGGAGTGAAAGTTGACGAAAACTTCCTTGTCAAATGGGGAGAGGTTCAAGAGTTTACCAACACTCATTATCCAAACAGAGCTGAGGCCAACAGTATCAATAATCTCTACAATGACACCCTTGCCCGTCATTTCCGACAGGTGTTGAAGAAGAGAGAGAAACAGACCACCTTGGACATGTTTTTCAAGAAGCCAGCAGGGAAAAAGCAAAGGATGGAGGAACAAGAGGAGTTGACCCTGCAAGCTCCAGTAGCCTCTCCTGAATCTGAATCCGATTAAAAAACAAAAAAAAGACCTGCTGTAATGTGTAAAAAAAGTGTACCTCCACCTCCTCCTCACAACATCTGACTACCCGGCATAATTGGTGACTGCTCCATTTTCATTTTTTTGTTATAGTACAGTACGGTTATTTTATGCTGCGGAACGAATTATATGTTTTAACATGTATTTCTATGGGAAAATGCGTTTTGTATAACGGACTTTTCACTTAACGGACGTGCACCTGGAACAGATTAAATACGTTATACGAGGCACCACTGTATATAATTATCAGCATCACTTTGCCATAGTATAGAGTATTTGCTCTTCTATATATGGGATTCTCTACATTAGAATTTTCAAGAAATATGAGAATGGTAAATTATGTTTTTGTAATTTAAGTATTTTTCATATTTACCATAACTATAAATCTGTATTCAAACACAGATATAAGTACATTTTGATGTATGCTGATTCATTTATTTTTGATCTTCATAACTGTCCATTAAAACTGTTTCAGATATTGTTTAAACTAATTTTAAGGAAATGTGCCAGCTTGTTCTAATCTTAAAATATTTTTTTTTTTAAAATATATTTATGTAGTTTCTATATATTTATTAATTATTAATCATTGCATCTTGAATATTTTATATTTGCAATAATTACAAATGTAAAATATTTTGGATGCAATGCTTGTGCTGATGTATTGTTAGTGAAGAAACTTTTTGACAGATTAAGCCCTAGAACAAGATGCATTGTCATCTTGGAAAATGACATCACCACAACCAAACATATTTTCAATGGAAGGAACAAGAAAGTTTTCCAAAATGGAAACAACATATACCTGGATATCAACATGCAACCCCAAATAACAACCAAGCTAGGAAATTTTGTCATTTTCTTTAGGTAGCCATCCTTATAAGCTATATCAGAATGGCACCAAACAAGTTTCAGCATCATCTCCATGATTAATACAAATTCTTGACTCATCACTAAATATCACTTTCATCCAGTCGTTTACAGTTCCTGATTTCCTTTGCTTTGTCTTATTGTAACTTTGCTTTCTTGTTTTAGTGTCAGTGATGGCTTTCTTTTTGCTTTTGTATATGAAAATCCTATTTATTTCAAACAATTTCTCACTGTTCTGTTACAGATACTAACACTTGCTTATTTCCAATTCCTATTCATCTCTTGTTGTACATTCTCTATTTTCAAAATATATTGCTTTTATTTAGAAAAACATAGTTACTTAGGACTAATGAAAACATATTAGTCAACCAGGAGACATCAAAATGTTAGGTTATAAAACTAAAAGTAATATATTAAAAAGCTTCTTTCCTGTATTATTTAATTACAAAAACATAGTTACTCAGAAATAATGAACAGGCTTACTATGTCCCGCTTTAAATGTTGAGAAATGTCTCAGTGTTTAAAGTAATTATATCGAGAAATAAAAAAATATGCAGTTTTTGTAGAAAGTATTAAATATTTTCTTTATTTATAAATGTTAGTGTAATTTTGACCTGTACCTTTAATATCAGACTCCCCTTGTATAATATACAAATTTATCACATTCCATTTAAAGCTTAATACAGCTTTAACTAATACTGTATTTTTAAATATTTATTAAATAATAAAATAAAAGCATTTTAGAAAATTGGCCCTCAGACACTTGACAGATATCTATGCAGACCCCCGAGGATCCACAGAATAGTTGCAAAGCTAAATCTTTAAAATTCCTTTCACTCATAATATTTACTCATTTCACAGGACAATGAGTCACAAGCTATCATGGTGAAAGTACAGTTACTTAAAAACACTAAAAAGTCTCATCATCTACAGTTTGTGCTGAATTTCACTCATTTTCAATTTCAGATTAAGTGTGTTACTGTAGAAAAATGTTAAAGTTACAGCTGAGATGGAGATTTTCATTATCAGTTTCTCAATTGAAGTTTACAATTTTATCTCTGTGAATCTATTTCAATAGTAGAAATATTCAAAAATTTTTCACAGGAAACCACAGTAAAGAAGGAACCCAAGAATAAAAAAAAAAATTGTTTTGAAAAGATGCTATTTAATAATTTATTCCGAACTGAAAATATCAAGCTTATGAAAGTATTATGCCGTCTTATAATTTTTCCACAACAAACTCAGTAAACTTGATTTGAAAAAACCTCAAGTTTCATGTGTGGATGAATTCATCACTACTCTAGGTTATGAAAGCATGTACCCTCCTTCTATTAAACTGGATCTGTATATGAGCACTCTCAGGCATTTTAGTGTCTTATATTCTTTACACCCATAAATACCAATCTGAAATCACAGAAATGATAGATCTTCTATATTATTCTTCATATTTGAAGGGCATTTATACAAACAGAACAAAAAGATACCCATAGGAAACAAGTATTAGCAATTCTACAGAAATTAGTTGTAAAAAATTAGAAAAGAACATCTTACTGAACTTTGTAAATTAATTCATATTATATAAAAGATACATAGATAATATACTAATCATCTGCAAGAATGATAACCTCATTACTAGAAATTGTTTCAAGAAATAATCTGTTAAATTTATTTTACATATTATAAAACTGAATCAAAAGTTTACTTATTGTGAAATTATAATTTTAAAAAGTCAACACACCTTTATAAAGTTAAAGAATCTGAGTGTGAAAAAGTGGGCGGAATTTATAATTTCTTAATTTTTAAAATTCTTGGAAATTTACTCACTAATAGTACTTCATATAATATAAATGTGAATAATTTTTCATTCATTTTTCCAAAAGTCACAAATGTTTTGACCATTTTTACATTTACCTTCTTATTCCTTCTTCAACTGATACTTGAATAAATTGCATCTTCTGAGTTAATTGAACTGACTATACTAAATTAAAAAAGGGAGAGATCACAGAAAAGATTTCATTATTTTTTAATTATTAGTAATTTTGGTTGTTTGACAACAGTCTTTGTACAGACAATTATATTTTTACTAGAAAATGATTGAAATAAGTTTTAATATTTTATTCTAAAATGCAAATATCAATAATAAGTTACAAACATGTTTATGATTCTGAACTTTTTGCCAATTTTGCTCTTTTTCCTTCTCCCCGCTTTGGTCGTCCTTTTCCTCGGAGCTCTCTTAATCTGTTCATTTCATCTTTAAAATCTTGATGTTCATCTCTAAAAATCATAAAATGATTATGGTATTAGTTTATATTTTTCTAAGATTCATAAAATTAAAACAAAATTATTAATATTTAGCAATTAAAAACAAAAATTTGATTAAGTCATTTTATTATCCTTCATATAATCTCTTATTTTAAAAATAAAGTATATTTCTCAAATATATATTGTTAATTAATAATATATATCAGAAGATTAACATAATTCATGACAAAATGCATGTGTACAGTACAGTTAAAAACCATGAATATTTATTGTTATTTCAACTCTTTCATATAAAAAGAAACATTAGAATTAATGGTTAAAATCATTTAGTGTTTTTAAAAAAAATAATTAGCACTTATATATATGTACACATACATACAGTAAAAGCTCATTACTACAGGTCCCAATATAACAGACCTTTCATCATTACAGATAGCTGATCAGTCCAGCCAAAAGTATAGAAAAATTATAAGAAAACTCATTCACTGTAACAGACTCCCACTACTAAGGACCACTTTTCAGGTCCTGCATATAACCACCCTTCTGTTATTTTAAAACAGTTTAAAATAAAACAGTGACTTTTAAGTCACTGTTTTATTTTGTTGCAGTCAACATTTTATTTAGTTTATTTGCAAAAAACAAATACAGAAATAATATAAAGTTTATTTTAAATCATTTTTTTCATAAAATTATACATTATGTTTAGTTTTTTTTCATTTTCTGATTGACCAGTTTGTTCAGTTTTGGTTTTGTTTTCTCTACAAGTGATAAGTCTTGAAATTGTGGTAGGCCACCAGTGGCTTAGTGGTTAAATAAATTTAAAAAGTTTTTTGTATAGTGATAGCCATGTTTATAATAAGAATGAGGTCTTGTTTAACAAATAAAAATAAGGTCTTGCTGCGAGCAGACCGACAAGGAAACAATGAAGAAAATTCATTCTGTATCATCTCCCATGCAGTTTTTTTCATCCCCAGAATACAATTGTTATAACCTTTCTCCTCAACTGCAAGATAAATTTTATAATTTCCATAAGGACACATTTTTCTTCTTTGGAAAAATTCTGGCATGATCTAAACACATTGTTCATCGCCATTTTTTTGACCTAAATGAATGATCTGATTGGTTAAATGACTTCTGAGAGATGGGAGTAACAGCAAAGAAAGTAATAGCCAATGTTTTGCAGAAGTTTATTTAGATGGCATTCAGAAATAGACGATTGTCGTCTTTGCAATGCATTTTAAACCATAGTTCAACCAGCTGACATATAGATGCTATTCAGCTGTTAAACATCGTTTAACATAAACTCTGTCTCTACAATTGGTTGAGTGCATTTTATTGTAGAATGTTACAATACTACTGGAAATATAACTAAAGCAATGTTTATCAAATTGTACTTGTGGACTTTATCACATAATGCTTCCAAAGTACAGTGCAAAAGAACAAATTCTTCCAAGAGAAGAATAAGTTGTGAGGAAATGCATCAGATATGCTACATGACTGAGGCAAGAGATGTTTCTGGGTGGTTACATGACATGAACTTCAACATCCCTCAGTCATGCTTTGTATGTGTCTACCTACCAATGCGCTACTCTGTGACCAACACAAGATTGGTTTCAACGGCATGCCGTGACATTTGATGATAGGGAAGCTGTGTTTCTGTAAGAAGCCGACTTACAAGAACAAACAGTTAATTGTGTGTCAGGGTCCATTCTTATTTGTTTGTTTGATAAGCCAATTAAAACTGTACACTTCTTTAAATGCATTTTTAATAGACTATCTGACATACTTAATTAATAAATAAACAAGCTCAATATAATTACCTCTGTTATTAGATTCAATAGATTCTATATGCCAATTTTTGCTTTGAGAAAAAAACATATAACATCTATCTAAATTAATAGATGTTAGATGTTAATAGCCGTAACTATCTTGTTATAATTTTCAATATTTATTTTATATTGTCTACTAATGTTAAATTCCATTCTGCTTTGATTTCCAGTTGCTTCAATTTAACAAAAGAATAAATGTGACATTTACGATTTTCATGTCTTTTGCCAGCTTTACTAAAGTTATTTAAATCATCAAAGCCATTCTTATTCCACACACTAATTTTATTTGAAAATAGTAAGCAAGGCCAAGAAAACAATTTTTGCATTTTTATGCATCCACAAAGCCATTTTATGACTTCATAAATTTTATCGTGAAAATGTCAAACAAATTTTTTTGTTGAAGTATTTATATTTAATTTAGGCATTGGTCTTTCTCTTTTAATAATTTTTTCTTTTTTATTATATGATCTTGAGCCAAACTTTTTAAAATAAATTTTCAATATCACAATTACATTCTGAATCACTAGCCACAATATAAGGGCTAAAATTAAAAATAAAATTATAAAAATTTACTTGGTGAAATAAAATGTGTGGTGGATATAAATACTGAACCTGGTACAAAATATTCTTAAATTATATTAATATACTTTTAAAGAAAATTATAATTAAATATAGGTTTGTAAAGAAACATACATAAATATAACAAAATATTCTTTACTTTTTAAATCTTAAAACAATACACTTAGTGAAATAGCCCTCTACCAGTGGCTAATGAGTGGAATCAAAGACGTCCTTGTAGGTGTGCCGTGCATCCATGCATGCAGGCTGCCAAATCCTGAGGGTGCTGATACTGGTCAATGTCAAATGCCTCTTTTGTCAAATCACTAGTATACCTCAAAGGACATGACAGGGTTGTAAATTTTAAACGTTTCTCACCATACAATAAATATATGTATTCTACAACCACTAACCGGCGTGAAAATTCCAAACTAATATTGGCAAACGCTTTCGATGCCCCTCCTGGGCTCTTCTTCAGGCCAAATTTAACGTACTGGATTCTTAATTCGAATATTTTTAAATAAGAATGTGCTCTGTTACTAGAAGTTCAAATAAGGAAGGTAATCACGTGCCTTTCCGAATTATAATTTATTTATAATTTATATTCGTGGAGATATGTTGTGCGCATCTTATAATCTCGCGTATTTTATAATCACGTGCCGTTTCTAAAAATAATTTTAACCAGTGGATATACGATGTGCGCATCTCATAACCAGAATTATTGCAGTGGAGAACAACTTATTTCAACGGGATCTGAATATTTTATGTATTGAAAATGCAAAGCAAGTTAACATCCATAACAGACTGAGATACAACCTAAAGGTTCGTTTCAATCAAAAAATGAAATGGATATTGAAATTTCAAGTACCTAAAAGATCCAATAGGATGGAGACTCCGTTTGTAGTGTGGGATAATATACAAATTCCAGACTTTGTTAACCAGATACAAAAATTTGGTCCGGCTTTTGTACCACCTCCATCACAAAAAGAAACTATTAACTCTAGTATCCCGGACCTTGAAAACCTTATAAGAGGCCTTTCTCCAAATCAAAAAGAGTACTATAGATGGCTATCTTCTTTAAGAATAAGTAGAGCTAAAAAAACAAAAGACATTTCACAACTCAAACATAAATTAAGCCAAGCTTCCAAATGGATAAAAGCTAATGATATTGTGGTAACCAGATGGGATAAAGCCAGAGTTATGGTGTTAATGAAGAAAGAAACTTACGAGAAAGAATTAGAAAAATACTTATCAGAAACACAATGCACACAAGTTGAAACGAACTGGGTAGATAAAATGCAAGCGAGGGTTAAACGAGTTGCCAACACCAAACTAGCCAAGAACCTAAATATGAAAAACATCATTATGGACGTACCTAAACTTTTCACCTTTGCCAAAACACATAAAATAGGCTACACCTATAACAGCTAAGACCTATAGTAGACAAAGGAAGAGCTCCTACCATCAAACTTGAAAAATTTTTTCATAATATGCTGTCTGCACATCTAGTAAACTACAAATTCAATATCTCGAATCCAAAAGAATTGATAGTAAAACTCAAAACCATAAACAAGCCAGGATATGCCACAGTATGGGATTTTAGATTATACCCCTCGATAAAAATACGACCTTGTTTTTGTGCACTAAGAGATTTCCTCATAGAAAAAGTAAAGGATGTTAATCTGGACCAAGATATACTGGAAATGGCCCATCTAGCCTGTTACAGTTCGGTATTCCAGTTCAAAGGACACATATATGCACAAGAGAGAGGAGTACCCATGGGAAGTCCATTATCAGAGGACTTGTACGAAATGGTAATTAGGGCATTAGAAACCAAAACCCTACCACTCTTTCTCTCAAATATAATCATGTATGGTAGGTATATAGATGACATTATAATTCTCTGGAAAACACCACCAGACCTAAGACAATTTAAGACAGCCATGAACAACAACCCTTATGGCCTTTATTTGGAATTAGAGCAGCATAGTGAAGAAAAAATCCACTTCTTGGATATAGAAATTGAAATTAAAGAAAGAACAATACAAACAAAAGTTTATAGAAAACCCACAAATATACCATCGTAGATACCCATCAATTCCTGTGACCCATACTCTTACAAAATAGCGGCATTCAGGACTTTGGTAGAAAGGGCCTATTCCCACTCTTCCACGTCCTACGCTCTACAGCAAGAATTAGCGTATATTAGAGATGTCGCTAAAGACCACAGTTATGGCAACTTAATAGACAAATTATGTAATCAGCGCCTTCACATAAACAGTAAAACAGATGAAGAAAAGACATCAGGAGCAGATGATAAAGAACATATGGAAAGGGTCCCAGTAACATACAACCCACAAATGAAAACGATATATAATTCAATTGCAAAGAAAAAAGGAATTAAAATTACATACAGAAGAAACCCTTCCATATATAATTTATTAAGAAACAGAAAAGACAACCATAACCCAAACAGGCTACCAGGAATATACACCATTCCCTTAATAGACGATAGATGGCAAAGACAACTAATTTACATAGGGTCCACTAAGCGTCCGTTAGCCACCAGAATAAAGGAACATAATGCAGACATCACCCACAACAAATATACGACAGCATTGTCGACATATGCAACAAACCCAGACATAACCCCGATTTTTAATGAGGCACGGGTCATCCGCACCACTCGTCATCATGAACATCTAAGAACTTTGGAAGCGATGGAAATTTACAAAGCAGATCGCAAACTAACCTGCATCAATCTTAAAGAAGAAATGAATCTCTCAACAGCGTGGCAGTATTTATTGGATGATGAATCGTAATTTATTATACGATACACCAGATTATTATGGGATGCGCACATCGTATATCCACTAGTTAAAATTATTTTTAGAAACGGCACGTGATTATAAAATACGCGAGATTATTATAAGATGCGCACAACATATCTCCACGAATATAAATTATAAAGAAATTATAATTCGGAAAGGCACGTGATTACCTTCCTTATTTGAACTTCTAGTAACAGAGCACGTTCTTATTTAAAAATATTCGAATTAAGAATCCAGTACGTTAAATTTGGCCTGAAGAAGAGCCCAGGAGGGGCATCGAAAGCGTTTGCCAATATTAGTTTGGAATTTTCACACCGGTTAGTGGTTGTAGAATACATATATTTATTGTATATGACCCGGTGTGGGAGAAATATTTGATTTCTCACCATAGCTGTAAAAATCTAAATATGTTAAACTTAATAGACTGTCATTTGTTTTCTAACTAATTCGTTTTAGGACCAGGGTCCACGAAAATTTCCAAAATTTACAACTTTTCAGTCACTCTCATTGAACTGAAAAAATTTCTGTCTTTATCTATACTAATATTATAAGGAGGTAATGTTTGTAAGTATGTATGTATGTAAGTTTGTTTGCAGCAGGTAATCTCCGAAACTACTCATCCGATTTCAAAAATTCTTTCACCAATATTTAGAACGGAACCTCAGGGTGGACATAGGCTGTATATTATTCCGTTAAACATTCATATAAATTAAAATATATAATGTAGGTTAGGGCTTTTATGTCCAACAGATGGCGCTACGAGTATGATGCCCTAAGTTTGCTTTTCTGTGAGGCATTATGCTTTTCTGTGAAAATGAACTAAAGCAGATCATCTTCTATCTATCTATATAAATAAAAATGTAATGTTTGTTTGTTCCTACCAATTCCTTTGAAATTTTGACACAACGCTGCATTCGAATACGCACGTGTTTTTATATAATATACGTGTCGAAATTCCCCTCACTGAAGGGAGATGGTTAGGATTAAGGCTTACCGTAAAGAACTCTGCTTCTATTTAGGCCTATACTATTTTAGATGCAGTTTTTTGCGTTTTAATAGGGTAAGTCAACAGAATGTACACTAAGAAAAAATTTTTCGAAAAATTCCCCCCACGGGGAAGTGTTATAAATTTATAACAGATACATTTTGAGCCACAACAACGTGTGGCGGGGTCTGCTAGTTATCTAATATTACGAAGAAATCAGTCTCCATAGTACTCAGCTAGAGATTGGTTCAGTTAAGCTTTTGTTTAAGTAAAATTCCAGCTCTTTCATCAGGGTTTCATTTGGTCCCTAATTCCCTAATCTCTTAATTATTTAACTACTTGTTAAGTAGAAATAAGTTGAAACCGGTTACTTTGTACTCGAATATTTGTAGTCTTGGAAAAAAGTGGAAAGACAAATTTTTATGACAACAGATACATAAAATTGTAAATTTAAGGAATATAAATTCTAGAGCTTTTTTGTATCTTGTGCATCTCATTCATTAAATTTAGTTGTAAATGATGCTTCCAAAGTAATAGTTAATTTAATAAGATACATAATGCAGTTATAATACTTTGAATTAATTAAAATTAATATTTTATATTAAAATATGAAAATAATCATGCAATATGTATTTAATTTTTAGAAAATAGAAATTTTTAAAAAGGGAAGCAAAACTTCCACCACTTCCAAGGACAGCACAGCACTGATTGGTTTGTTTTTTGTTTGATGAGCTTTTTGTTTATAGCACTTTTTATATGGGTGAATACTCAAAAATTCTGCTTTGGAAATGTTTATCATATAGGCCTATGTCTATCATACCTGAATAAGCCATAATCTCTCAAACGCCACATTAAAATTCGAATCTGAGGATGAGGTGGATACCAATTGATAATTTCTTCTCTAAGGTCTACAGGCCGTTCACTGTACAACTTTACGACTTTCATGGATTTCGAATTAGTAGGACGAGCCACTTCACCAAATATACGAGCACTTAAATACGCCATTCTTTTAGCATAATTCGACATCGATGAACCACTTGCCATTCTACAGATAAATGGGCATACCGATGAATACATATAATTTAAGGAGACAAATGTTACATAAAATCACACTAAAATACATATACAGTGCATGATCTTTACATAAATGTAATAAGCGAAATACTTACGTTCTTCTTTTATAGTATACTAACAAATGATTCAATATTTCTGAATATTTCATGCATAACTATATCAATACATAATAGCATGTGCATAAAACACACACGAGAGTGAAAGCCCTCTAGTGAGATAAAACCTAATTGTTCCTGTCGTGATATGATCGAGATTAATACAGTTAAAATAAATATAATTTTTTTTAACTTGTTAATATTTGATTATATAAAATTATAAAAACACCACGGATTTATAAAAAATTATGGATTATTAAGTTTTCTCCGATTTCTTATCCTTTTCTCCTTGTGGTCTTTTTTTTTATTATACACATTATCATAATGTGTATGATAAAAAAATCAGTCGATATCATAAAATGTTATGGGATCGACTGATCTACTAGTAACAGCTGACCTGAACCACTCGGCCATCCTGTCGTCATTAATTCAGAATAAAGAAAATTTATTTAAATGAAATATACAATTAATGTCAAAATTTACGCAGACAGACAGACTTCTCCGATTAATGTAAAACACTGTATACAGTTATGTCTCAAACAGATATGTAAACAGAAATGACAAAGGAGAGAAACTGGGGAATTTTCTCTGGGCCCGAGAAAACTTAGGTCCCATATGGTTCCCTTAGCTATAAAATCAATGTTATTTTATACAAACAGAAAATAAAATCTTCAAAAGACTTTTTACTAACAAAGGAACATTATACGTATTGCATTTGTTAAAAAATGGCTGAAGAAACAAAAAGAAACCTCAATACACGGAACTCATACTTGTGTTTTTTAGCTGTTTCCGCCCTGTAAGCACTAAGAGGGCCTCTTTTAGCAAGCCCATTATGGGTTCGGCTAGTGGTCAGGGACGTTGCCCAACATATCCAGACGGACCAACCGCCGAAAAATTCCTGGAGATTTTTCGACCCGTTCGGATTCGATCCTGGGTCCCCCACAGCGGTAGGCTGCCACCTTGACCGCTCGGCCATCCGGCCGTCGCCGGGCCCACACTATATCTCTCGATGGCCGTGTAAGTAAATGATTACAATCGTGGTCCTAATGTACGCGAGAGAATGCTACCAGACAGTGGCGTATCGAGAGGGGTGCAAGGGGGTGCATCTTGCACCGGACGCCACTCGCAGAGGGGCGCCCAAATGGTCTCCAAGACAAACTATGTGTTTCTGTAGGGGGCGCCAATAAAGTGTCGTGCCCCGGGCGCCAGTTATGTTCGCTAAGCCTCTGCTACCAGAGCGCCTTAACATATCTACTCAGTATCATGATAAGTTTCGCAGGAGCTGGCGATGCTCAGAATTTTCAGTATATCTAATGTTTGGAGGTCTTCAAATGCCAGACATGCCTGTACTACGCCGTCAAAGATATTACGCAAAACTGACAAAGTTTGAGAGAGAATACATTGGGCTGAAGGAAGGAGATAGCCATTTCGCCAAATTGCCCCTATCTGGGCCGTTTTGATCTGATTGCGGAATATTATGGGAGTGAATATCAGGACATATATACGCGTTGGGCAGACTCCGGATGACCTAGTCTACTAGAAAAAATGACGGTCTGATAATGAGACAAGTACAAACAGCTGCAACTATCTTTTCCCATCATTCAGAGGTAAATAGAAACATTTCCACAAAACCCCGTATCTTCCCATACCACCAGCAGTTGCAACATCTGTGAGCAAATCTTAAGGCAAGATAGCATACGCTTTCTATATATCTCCTTGTCGGATCATATTGCTACATGTATAAAAAAAAAAAGAAAAGAAAAGGTCGTGCAAGATACTAAAGGTTTATAAAAAAAACCGGCCAGACAATACTGCTCAATAATAGTCGATGAACACTGTGTTCAACGGCCATTTCTTACATGCAGTACATTACTGTCTTCCAAGGCTATCAAATTTGCAACATGTCCTCAATAAACCACAGTTTTTAAATGTTTATTTTTAAAATAAATTTTATAAAATAGTTTTTTTATGCATCGAAATTTTCTTTAGGTAAGAGGGCGCTAGAATCCACAATTGGAAGAACGAAGTTCGGATAGGAATGATTTGTGAATTAGGATACTATGTTGTCTAATTTTGACGATAACGAAACTTCTGAAGTTTATTCTTCATTATCAGGTATATTTTAGTGTAACAAATGATTATCATCAAGCCGTTAGTTATTTTATTTAAGTTTGCTCTATTACTTTGTAGCACGTGTCGTCTATTAAAGTACTCAATTTCATATTTGAATAAATAAATTTTTTTATTTTAAACTAAATGAATTAATAAAGTTTATATTACTAAGATATTATTATAGCAAACTTGATAAGATCAAATTTGTTTTGTTTGTATAATATTTAAATCGATGATAAAATGATATACAGGTATTAAGAAAGAGGGAAATTCAAAAATGGTTATATCATTTATTTCAATTGCTTATAGAATTGGAGCTAAATTTAAGTATAAGACACACGAATATCTTTTCACAATATATTTTTAAAGAAAAAAAGTCAACGAAAGGCATTTTGATACAGTACAATATACATGTAGATAATTAGATGGCTTGAAACAATGTTGGTTTGCCATTGTGATAATCTGACTTCAATCTGAGTCAAAGCTAAAAATTTTTTATAACATTCTGACCCAATATGTCAAGCGTCATCATTCACTACATTGTTGTAACTATTGTGAGCTTGACTAAATTCATAACAAGTATGAAAAAAATGAACTTTTTATTGCTTTCAAGGCAGAAAAATTAGAAATACAGTAGAGCGTCGTTTATCCGAAAGCTGGTTATCCGAAACGTCCGTTATCCGAAAGCACTCCAGTCGGCAAATTTAAATTTTCGCTAGTGCTGTGGTGCTGCAATCTTCGGCTATTTCTCGGGCTACTCAAATATTTTACATTTTTGATACTAAGTTAACATCTGAAGTATAATTTTTTATTGTTTTTATATTTTTCAATAAATTTATTTTGTTTGTACAAAATAAAAAAATAATTTTTAACGATACAATAGTCTTCGTTAGGCTTAACATCGATGAAAATTCAACGCAAAGTGACACGCAACGGAGAAAAATGTCAAGATGGGATAAATTAATATATTTTTTTGTACATGATTCATTATCCGAAAAATAAGTTATCCAAACCACCTTAGTCCCCAATTGATTCAGATAAACGACACTCCACTGTATACTGTATATGTACATAGGCAAGATTTTTATTTGCTGGACATTATTAGTACTGTTAGGGTTATAGGTCATCCTTGTATGAACCAAACAAAAAACCCCAAAAGGAATTTTGGACCCTTCACAAGATATTGCTCTCTGAAATTTACTTCCTGAATTGTTAGTACTTAATTGACTTTCAATTTTAAAATATGAAACTATAAAAAAAAATTAGAGTGGTACAGTGCAACCCCGGTTAACGAATTTAATCCGTTCCACGACTCTGTTCGTTAACTGAATTGTTCGTTAACCGAAGCAATTTTTCCCATAGAAATTAATGCACTGCAATTAATTCGTTCTAGTCTCTGAAACTTTTGTGAATTTATTTGTAATATACAGTAGATTTTCTTTGATGAAAATGTAGGAAAACGTTGTATCTATCATTACAGCAACAAACAGGTAAACTTTGTTTAATAAAATAGCACTGTACATACCTTCATTTGTTGTAGTTGGTGGCAGAAAAGTGGAGATATACAAACCTTAATGCTTCGAAGGGAAATCCCTTCCAAAAAATAATGGATAGCATTTCATCGGAAGATTCTTCAAGTTGAAGTCTCTTTTGGTAAGAAAGCCACCAGTGGCTAAGCGGTCTTTGTACCCTAAACACGGGGAGATCGTTCTTGGGTTCGTACTTCGTTCAGACGGGCTGGCCACGTGGAGTTTTCCAGGTTTTCTCCAGTCTGTAACGCCTAAATAGGGGCCAGTTTCCCTTAAAAACACCTCCTAGAAGACATTCCCCCTAGGCAGATCGCCCAAGTGTTGCGTTGCCATAACTTAACAAACAAACAAACTCTTTCCGTAAGTAACAAGAAATTGATCTAAAGTTGATTGTCTTATTCTTTTAATCAAAATTTTTCTCAAATGCGATAGAGCATTATCGTTCATATTGTGTTGTTTTTTATTGCCACTATGACTTTTTTCTTTCTTGGATGCCATATTGATTAAATATATAAATCACAAAACTGAAAAAAGAAGTATAGCACAAACACTCGGAAAAGCATATCTTAACTCGCGCATGCCTAAGACCAACTAAAATTTGACACAAAATATCGTTACGTTCGTTATCTGAGACAAAATTTTTGCAAAATAAAAGTTCGTTAACCGATTTGGTCGTTAACCAGGACGTTCGTTAACCGGGGTTCCACTGTATTCGAAAACACTGTTTGTCATTAGTGTTTTCCTTTTTAAAAGTGGATACTAAAATTTTATATATGATGTAAAATGTACTACCAATATGAGATTCTTTGCTGATATGAATGTAGTGCATAGCATAGATGCTGACTACATCATCATAGTAAAATTAAAATGTTTATTAAATCGATATAAATGATCAAATAATTAATATATGATTTTGTTTTGTGAAAAAATTTGTATTAAGAACATATATCAAAAGGAGTTAATAAATCATCAAAATTAATGTTAGTTTATGCAATAATTAATATAATTTGGCACTAAAAGCATTAAATGTTATCTTGTACTAAATTTTATAATCAGAAAATAATAATTTAGAAAAATATAGAAAAAAAGGTCTGGCCTGGAGTGCAACTCAAAACTGTAACTCCTAAAATCGTCATCATCAATTGTGCTATTCAGATTTTCCAATGCCAGATTCATGTGATTTATTCATTGTTGTTATTTTTTCAAAGTTCTGAGTTTCTTAATTTCTTTTTTCCTGTTAAATATAGGAGAAATGCTAGCATCACTCTATCAGTGTGTGATATGAGTGTGTTGGGGAATCTTATGAAACAAATACTTATATGATAAGCATGATATTCATGGAAACATATAATCCATTACATCATCTATTAATTAATTAAACAGATGGTGTAATGGATTATATGTTTACCATGAAAACTAGAAAAAGTAAGAATTTTTGTCAGTTATTTGTAGAAGGCAGCATCTACTCAAAATAAAAATATATCAATAGTCCTATTACTAAGTCAAGATGAGATGTTATCTATTTAGTACAGATATTCTTTAAGTGGGTTTAAAAAATACCCAGCTTTTAACATTAGATTGTAACTATATTTTGTTACTTTGAGACAAGATGTTTTCATAATCAAGGGTTGTGCTGCAGTGTCAAAATCTCCACTTGCGATAATTGTATTAAAGTGGTGATAAAAACTAGTCTGCTTATTTTTACATTCAGTGTGAACCTGCATAATCTCTTCAACTTGGACTTTATTCCCATTCTTATTTTCCTTTTTGAACTAATTAATTTCTTGTATGCCATGGGAAATCAATTAAAATATATTTTTTCACCATATCTATTTTTTAAAATATATTTTAATCAATCTCCTGTCACATACAAGTAAAAAACTAATTCTTTCAGAAAGGAAAATAAAAATGGGGATTCAGTGTGAAATTTAATCACAAAACACACTTCAGAAAAAACAGCAGAATGTTGTGCTTTCTTGTGATGGGAGTCTTGTGCAACACATTTAGCGATGTCATGCGGCAAGTTCAGACAGTAAAGCTGGAAATGACATTGAGAACCAATTCATGCAATACCACCCAGTGTTTCCAGATTGGAGATTTTTTTTAGGATGACATTTTCTTTCACTTTGATCTCTGCAGTAAGTAGGCTTAAGCATAAAACTTTGGACCAGACAGAACATTTTAAATACTGTAAGCATTGTGATCAAATGTGTTATTTGGAATTATTCATTAAAAAAGGATTCAAAAATGATTCCAATTTCTAAGTGACAGCTTTCTAGACTCCAAAATGATAAGGTTACCAGAACCTGCATTAATTAGTAAGTAAAGCTCATAGTTATAAATAATTTGAAGTGGCAAAAAATTTATAAATGGCGAAATGGTTGGTGATTTTTTAAAAAGTTTTTAGATAAATTCCTGCATAATGGTGTAATGTTTCATGATTAAGATTAACAAATTTTTAAATATGTTATCCAAAAAATTTAAGCATGACATGCATGCTTATAAGTCAGAATTCAACACAAAGTAGATAATTTAAGACTGTTTGCTTCAATGTGTTGTGCATTGCCAAAAGTAAAATAAAAAATAACCAGATTCTTAATACAGTAAAACGTTGGGTTACAGATGCCTCTGTTTATAAACAAAATTTTGAATGTAATATTTGCTCTAGTTACCTTACAATAACTTGGTTTCTGAATAAGCTACTCAGCAGAGTCAGCCACCAATGGTCTATACCAGTGGTGTGCAAACCCCCTGGGTCATGAGAGAATTTTTGAGGGTTGCCAAATTCAAAGAAATTTATTTGACAAAAAATATAAGGCTTTTCTTCAACAAGTATCAGGCCCCAGTAAAATAGTGAAATGAAATTATAATATTTATAAAAATAGAATAGCATACCTCACATTGAATTTTTATCACGTAAAGTTTTAGAAAGTATTTTTCATTAAATAAATATTTATACCCATATGCATAAGTAACCATTGTTTCATAAAATTGTGTTTTATTCAGATCTCTAATAAGGCAGAAACATAAGCACAAATCCCAGAAAGAATTTCACTTTAACTATGTTGACAATTAAAAACATTACTGTCTATCCAGGGGTCACGACAAAATTTTACACAAAATGGGGGGTCGGAAATGAAAATAGTTTGCACACCACTGGTCTGTACTGATGGACTTCCTATATTCTTATGTTAAAGAAAGTCAATGGCCTGACCAACCAACAACAAACAGGATTATTGATTTGGTAGTGGTGCTGAGATTTGCCTCTCATCACAACATGAACCATCAATGACATTATTCAAATTAGATTTCAATGTGCATGTGGGTAAGATACTACTGCTGGTTTTTGGTACATGTCACAATTCAATTTAAATCAAACTAGTTAATAAAAACAGTGTTAATTGACATTTGTGTAATATAAATGACATCCAATAATTCATATTTAAAGGTGCTTAACTCAAATTAAATAACAAA